AATAATTGTGTTCCTATCAGTATCTTTGTTGAAGTCCTTCACGATTTTCTTTATATATTTGGGTGCTCCTGTATTGGGTGTATATATGTATTCAATATTTATGTCTCCTTGATGGACTCTTTCCTTGAGTATTATGATGTGACCTTTTGGGTCTCTTTTTATGGCCCTTTTCCTGAAATCTGTTTTTTCTGATATGAGTGTTGCTATCTCGGATTTTTTTCCCTGTCAGTTTGCTTAAAATATTTTTTTCAGCTCTTCACTTTCAGTGTATGTAGGTCTTTTGTTCTGAGGTGGGTCTCTTGTAGGCAGCATATGTGTGGGTCATGCTTCCTTACCCATTTGGGTTCTCTATGTCTTTTGAATGGAGCATTTAATCCATTTACATTTAAGGTTATTATTGATAGGTATGTATTTAATTTTCCATATTTTTCTACCTGTGTTTCTCGCTCTCTCATCTTTTTCTTCCTGTTCTTGAAGCAGTCCCTTTAGCATCACTTGCAGAGCTCATATGGTGGTGGTGTGTTCTTTTAGATTTCTTTTGTCTGAGAAGTTCCCTATTCAGCTTTCCATTTTAATTGATAGCCTTGTTGGATATAGTAACCTTGGTTGCAGGCCTCTGGTTCTCATTACTTGGAATATTTCTTATCATTCTCTTCTGGCTTGCAGCATTTCCATTGAGAAATCAGCTGCTAGTCTTATCAGGGCTCCCTTGTATGTTTCTTCCTCTTTTTCCCTTGCTGCCTTTAAGATTCTCTCTTTGTGTTGGAATTCTCTCTTTGTCTCTTTTATGCCATTTTAATTATGATCTGTGTTGAAGTGGGTCTCTTTGGGTTCTTCTTGATTGGAACTCTCTTTGATTACTGGATTTTTGTGGCTTTTTCTTTCATCAAATTTGGGAAGTTTTCCATCATTACTTTGTCATACGGGTTTTCTATTCCTTCCTCTTCTTTTTCTTCATCTGGTATCTCTATTATACAGTTATTGTTACATTTCATGTTGTCTTGTAGTTCTGTTACCACCTGTTTATTCTTTCTGAGTGTCTTCCTTTTCTTGCTCTCTCTGGATGTTTTTTTTCTACCTTGTTTTCCAACTCACTTGATTCGATCCTCTGCTTCATTGAGCCTGCTTGTAATTCCTTGTAATGTTTTTATTTCTGCGATTTTATTTTTTATTTCTTCCTGGTTTCTCTTTATAGTTTCCACTTCCTTTTTAATGCTGATATAGTTCTTACTCAGTTCCTTGTAGTTGTCTGAGTTCTTTGAGCATCCTTGTAACTATTAATTTGAATTATATATCTGATATTTTTGTTACCTCCAATTAATATCACTCTTTTACTGGAGAGTCTTCCATTCCTTTTGATTGCATATTCTTTTTTTTGCCTCCTCATTTTAGGTTACTCTTTTTGTTTCTACGCTTCCTGATGTTTTGCTTTAGTAGCTATCTTTGACGGGTGTACTTCTATGATATGAATTCTATGGGGTTCAGTGGTGTGGTCTCTAACCTCCTTGTCTGGATGCTCTAGGTTTGCCCTTTCTTCTGTTTGTGTGGGCTGTTTTGGTGTACTTGATTTTTACCTTTTGTGGTTCCTTTGTTGGTGGGTTTCTCCTCCAGCAGGTATACTGATGTTTGCAGCTCCTATCTGTTCTAATATGTGATCAGTGGCAGGGGGAAGGCAAAAGGAATTAAGACAGTGGGAGAGTATTTTATAGGATTTAAAGTACCAGGAATTAGAGAATTGATAGCAGATTCTTTGAATAAGTATGGCATTAACTGCGATATTTCACCCAACTGGCTACTTTTTATAAAAGGTGAGAGATAAGACTCTGGTTAGAGAAGAGGTTGATTGTGAGCTGAATCCAGAAAATAGAGTGCTTGTGCAAGGTTAGATGATGAGAGATAGTGAGATTAAGGAATAGAAAGTAGGCGTAGTGTAAGAGAGAATAGTGTTAACCACAGCAATAATAATGGTCAGATTGAAGTGAAGTGGGCTAAGATCACGGAGGGTTGCTGTATAGTATGTAGAATTGTATGCAACAATAATTATTTACAATAATACTGGAACAACAATAATATGACAAGAAATACATGACTTGGATAAACAGAATAGAAATTATCTGTTCAAACGTTGTATGTTATTGGAACATGGGTGAAGTGAAAAATGAAAATTAAAATACATACAGACAGAATAAGGAAAACCAGTCAAACAATGCAATTAAACAGGTAAATACAGTGAGGAAAACTAAACATAAAGAAGAGAAATAAAAATACTAATAAAATAAATGTGGTAAAAATGATGACAAGATAATAATAATGTGCATAAACAATAAAATGCCAGCTTTGTGGCATAGCAAACTGACATTTGTCTCAGTTTCTCAGTTTTGGGGGTTAGGCTTGTGCTCCCCCTTTTGGTCTGTCTCTGGACCATTTGTAACCCCATATCTTATTGCCTCACTTGCTGGGAGAAAAAAGAAAGGGAAAAAAAGGCAAGAGGATTCGAAGAGAAAAAAATAATAATAGTAAGCCTCCTGCTGACTTTAAACCTGTTCAGTGAGTTCTGCTGGTCTTCCTAAATACCACAGGAAGAGGGTAGCTGTGATTCATTTGTTTCCCTTCCTTTGGTTCTGAGAGGATGGGGACCAGGTATGGGTTGCGATATGCACAGTTTCCAGGCCTCCAGCCCAGGTCTTCTGTGAGTTGCCAGGTTCAAATCAGTCACTCGACTCCTCACAGTGTGAGTCTGTCTCCTGTGAGGAGCCTGAGACAAGGGGGGAGCAAGATTCAGCTCAGCTACTGTCTCTGAGCACACAATGCCAGACACATGGGGTGCATGGTTCCCCTCAGCTACTGTCTCTGGGCACATGGTTCCAGACACACAGGGCACACGGTTCCCCTTAGCCACTCACTCTGGACACATGCCTCTGAAATCTCCCTCAGGGTGTTCCAGTGGCTGCCGGAGAGTTTCTTACGAAACAGCTGCCCACAGTTCCCAACAAGCTCATGGCTTTTCACACAGCCCCACTTTCCAACCAGTCCAGAGACTATTAGAATCAGGGTCCAATATGTCCCAGCTCCTCCCTTCTCCAGGTGTTGCCCAGCACCCCAATTTTTCTGGTGCCAGCATCCACAGGCCCAGCGGATGTGTACTGCCTCTGTGTGTCTCCCACTTAGTCTCTATTATCCCCAGTGACTTCCAGCATCTAGATCCCTCCTGGTGCTTGGCTGCCCTCCCTACTCTGGTAGGGGAGGGACCTGGTGATCTAACTCTCCTCCTGGTATCCTGCAGCAGGTGCCAGGCCGAGGGCACAGCAGCCTTGGTCCTGGCGCAGATCCCAGGAACCTTACCGCCCTAGCGCACTCTCCTCACCATCTGTTTTTCAATATCCTCTGCAATTTTTGGCCTCCAAACTTCATATAAGCTAGGATTCTGTTAGCTATTCACTCTGTTCCTCAGAAGATTGGCTAGGTATTCCAGGTGGGCACAATGAGGTTATTTAATAACCTTCAGCTCCACTCCCACCTACCTCTTTTCCATTTTCACCAAGCCAGAGTCATTCTTTTTAAAAGTTAAGGTAGATCATGCTGATTTTCTTTTTAAAATCTTCTACTATATTCTCATTTCACTCATAGTAAAATCCACAGTATTTAGGGAGGCCTATGTAATGTTTTATGATGCACCACTAGTTATAACCTGTGAACTGTTTTTCCTGGTTTCTCTTTCTCACTCTACTCCAACAATATAATGTCAATATAGTGATGTTCCTTGTGTATGCCAAACATGGTTATTCTTGTTGCCTGAAGTAATCTATACTTGTATATGTTCTACATCCTTCAATATTTTTATTTTGTATTATCTTCTCAATGAGATCTATCCTGACCACCCTATATAAAATTGAAACCTGTCAACCATCCTGAGTATATCCTATATGCAGTCTTATTATTCAGCTCTATATTTTCACTATAAATATGATTCTTTTGATATAAGGGGTCTAACCAGAATGTATACAGCCATGTAAAGTGAAAAACAGACATTTATAGAAAAAGAGACAAGGTACAAGAAATTTTGTACATAGGACAATGACATCTCAGTCCCCTTGGAAGTAGGCACCTTGGGACCTCACATATTTCTCCCAATTACCTCAGCTGCCCTGTTGTATTTTCCTGAATCTCATCGACGGTCTGAAATCTCTTCCCTTTCAAAGGTGATTTTAGTTTTGGGAAAAGCCAGAATGTAATGTACCAAGAGCTCTGTACACAGAGCACCAAATGTAAGCCTACATTAGGGATCTGAGTCACCTGGGTGATTAAATGTTTTGCCAAAAAAACTCTGCATTAGATGTGATGCATGACTGGGTACATTGTTATGTTGAATGAAGTTGCCAATCACCAGTTGCCCATTGCTTGGCCTTCTGAATCATCCAAACAGTTTCCGTGGAGGAATGTTCAAGGTTAACAAAATTTGATGCAGATTTGTTGCTGTACGCACTCAGTCATTTTTAATACAACAGCCACACAGTACACATGCTCACTCAACAATGTCTACCACCCCTACTGACTAGTACAGTAAAATCATCATTGTTCATGCATGTGCATTCCAGTCCACTCTCCTTGGCTGCCAGGTTACATCGATGTTGCACAAACTATTCTCATTTTATTAACAATGGCTGGACTTTTTCCAGACAGACCTCATATACATATATATAAATAATTTAATAATTTGTTACCTTTATTTTTCTATTACCCTTTTCCACTGCTATATTGTGGAAAAATCCATGAAGACATGGATTTTTCTCTGATTTGTTTATCAATGTATCACAAACACCTAGAACAATGCTAGGGACAGAGTTGGCACTCAATAAATATTTATCAAATAGATTGATTCAAGATGTAGGCTTCTGTAACTACACTGTTAGGTGGGAATGTTGTGCATTAGTGCTAACTTCTTTAGAACCTATCTAAACAAAGTAGATTAGTAAATTTTTTTTTATTGTGATTTTCTCTAGGTGACAAAGGTGACACCTGCTTCAACTGTATTGGAACTGGTATTTCAGGGCCCCCAGGTCAACCTGGTTTGTCAGGTCTTCCAGGTCCCCCAGGTAAACCATCTTGCCCCAGGGCAAACTTATAAATTATTTCTTGGCTAGCTTTTAGTGAGATTGCAGCTTTAGAGTAATGCCAGTTTCTTATTTTATCACTAGTCACTCACATTAATAAATAAATATGAAATGTCTTGTGACATTTATGTTGTGAAATAAGTTATGCTCTTGTTTCTAATTTCTGAAGCTACCAGCAGTTTCTAACAAATTGAAACCAAATTTGATATTGATTTGACCCACAAGTCTTTTAATCAACTGCCTCTTGGTATATCTCAATACTATATCCCGAAATCACACTTTAAATCTGTGTTAGGGCTCAGAATAGACACCAGATCACTTACCTTTCTGTCTAGTGTGTCTTCCAAGGAAATCAATTCATTTAGCACTTGGAAATAGATTTTTAGCAAGTCTTATAGCTGCCAGTGGAATTTAATAATCTAGCCTTATGACTCCAGTGTAGTGGTTCTTAAACTTGGGAATACATCAAAATTACCTGAAAGGCTTGTTAAAGCCCAGATTTCTGCATCCTACCCCTAAATGTTCTGATTTGTTAGATCTGGGGTGAGAGCCCAAGAACTAGCATTTTTAACCAGTACTCAGGTGATGCTGATGCAGCTGGTTTAGGGAGCCATTTGGGGAATGACTGCTGTAGTAATATTTCCCCTAGTGGTTGAGTACCAAACATTTCTCATAAATCCAATGTTAGGGAGTGAAATATCAAAGAAAGGACTGGTAAGTATCTAGGAAAATTGTTGAAGTCAGAACAAAGAAAGATATTTAGACTTTGTCCTTGTGATAGTTGAAGGAGCTCTATACACAGTACTTGGTAACTGTGAGCTCTTGAGAAGATTTGGGGTTGGAAATAACTGAGACTACAATATTGTATGGAACGTGAAATGTTAGATTTACCTAAAAGGAAGAACAGTTTCTTCATTTTGAGAGTATAAAATCAGAGAACAAAAATGTGACCCTTTAGTGGGGTTGAATGGGATCTTATTTTAAAACTTGACTTCCTGATTTGATTATTTTTGTATACTTTGTTGGGAATTCAACTTCAAAGCTCACACTATTGTGTGTGTTATGTGTGTTTGTCTTAGGATCTCTTGGTTTTCCTGGACAGAAAGGTGAAAAAGGACACACTGGTGCAGCTGGTCCCAAAGGACTAAGAGTAAGTTTTCAGCATATTATAGAACTAAAGGACTTGAATAAATCTATTTACACTTTGATTTTCACTTGTGTATACATATAAAATAAATTAAGTTTTTCTATTAAATTTATTTGATTACTTGACACTCTGTGACTCACATGGCTCTTTTGATTCATAGCTTTTTACACTAAATGTTATGGGTAGGTTGATGGGGTAAACTGGAGAGAGGAGAGTTTTAGAAAAAGAGAAAGTGATTTTCTCTTTCTCTTTCCCCTGTTCTTTCTTTTTTCCCCCTTCAGGGCATACCAGGATCTCCAGGTGCTCCAGGCTTTCCTGGACCTAAAGGAGAACCTGGTGACATCCTCACTTTTCCAGGAATGAAGGGTGACAAAGGACAGCTGGGTTTCCCTGGACCTCCAGGTCTCCCTGGTTTACCTGGTACCCCTGGACAAGATGGATTGCCAGGGCTACCTGGCCCCAAAGGAGAACCCGTGAGTTGGTTTAGTATCCTTGGTTTTCTAACGTAAAAAATGTTACTTAGGTATGTTTCCTAGGATGTGCCTGTTGCTGGTGTGAATACCTAATCAATGCTTAAAGAAACTGATTAATATATAGAAATGTTACATTGTTATTGACTATGTAGGGTTTCTTTACCACTCCTTTCCCTCAGTTGTTTCATAAATTCCTTCTTTTTAACCTATTTCTATACTAAGTAATGTTGGCTATAAATTTCTCAGCAGAAGGTTAAAGTACTGTGGGTCACTGTAAGGTTCCCCTTCTCTTGCCTCACACATCCTTGTCTGGGTTTATTTAGCCATAACAGCAGAAGCCTAATTTGTTTTTTATATTTATTTGTTTTATATATTAAGCTTAGAGATTCATGTGAGTGGATAGCCATATTAAATGGTCTGTGGAGCCTAAAGGTTGAACACAAATGAGCAGTGTCTTATTTTGTGTACAACACACAGTCCAGAATATTTATGTGGAATGTCATATTTATATAAAATATTAGCTAGACTGTAAACTTCTTGACTTATACTAGAATATAAACTTCATTATGGCAGAGTTTTTATCTGTTTTTATTCTTTGTAATACCATCACCTGACACATAGTAAGAACTCAAAAATATTTGTTGAAGAAATTAATAAGTAGAGTGATCACACATACTGTTCCATAATATACATTTATACAGCTTTTAAGAACTGTTTGTGTCTATATCATTTTTCTAGCTGTATTCAGTAATACCAACCTTTGGAGAGCTGTTATATCTATGTCTCTGTATTAAACTTTTCCCTTTTCAGGGTGGAATCGCTTTTAAGGGTGAAAAAGGTCCCCCTGGGAACCCAGGTTTGCCGGGTCTCCCAGGGAATAGGGGGCCTATGGGCCCTCTTGGTATTGGCCCTCCAGGCCCAGCAGGTGAAAAAGGCATACAAGGTATGGCAGGAAATTCAGGCCAGCCAGGAATACCAGGTGAGTTCACTATATTCGTTTTGTTTTTAATTTGGTGCTTAAAAGCAGAAATGTATTATATTTGGCCATTCTTGGCTTCCCTTCATGAGAGATGTGTTTCCCTGGACATTTATATTTGGGCTTTTCAGAGCTCCATAGCAAGAAAACACAATACGTATGTGGTTTTTATGGGAGGTTTCCTCTTTAAATTTTTTTCTGAAATTTTTTGTTGTTTTCGTTGTTTTGAAGTACATGATACATAATGCAAAGTTTAACAAATATATTGGAGAAACACATATAACTGCCATAGGCATCAAGAAACAGAATACTGCTAGCATACTAGAAACCCCCAAATTCTTCTCTATCCTTTCTTGACCAAATTCTCCTTCCATTTTCCAAGAATAACCACTGCCCTAACTTTTGCATAATTTCCTTCCATTTACCCCCTAGTGTTATTACGTAGATATGCATTCCTAAACAGAGTACTTTAAGCTTCTTTTTGAAATTCATGTTGATGGAATCATAGGTATCCTTTATGTTTACTGTCTGTAGCTATAGTATATTCATTTTCATTGCTGTTTAGTATCCTATTGTATGCGTGTATAACAGTTGATTTATCCATTCTATTGTTAATGGACAATTGGGCATTGTATAGTTCAGGCCTATTCTGATTAATGGTTTCTATGTACATTCTTGTATATATACACTGCTGTACATATGCACATACTTCTCTGGAGCAAGGATCAGCAAACTACAGCCTGTGAAATAAAACTGACCAACACTTTTTGTCATGAATGAAAGTTTTGTTTCAACAAAACCATTCACTGTTGACTATGGTTGCTTTTTCAACCACAGTGTTGAGCATTTGTGACATAGATCATGGTGGCCCACAAAACATAAAGTATTTACTGTCTGGTCCTTTATAGAAACAATTTGCCAGTCCCTAGACTAGGCTACATATTTAATATTAGCATTTTCAAGGCATAGAATAAATCGATCTTAAGTTTTACTTGATAATTCCAAACTACATCCAGAATTGTATGAATTTATACTCCCATCAGAACCATTAGAGATTTCTTATTGTTCTATTTCTTACTGTTCTATAGCCTCATAAACATTTTGTTTTGTCAGACTTTTATATTGTTGCCAATCTGTTGAAGTGTGGGATACCTCATAGCAATTTTATTTTACATTTCTTTGATTACATTAAAGTTTAGCACCTTTTCGTGTGTCTACTGACCATTTTAATTTCCTTGTATGAAATGCCTATTCAGGTGTTTTGACCATTTTTTTATTGGATTGAATCTATTTCTTATTGCCATAGAGAATTATATATTACACACACACACACATACATTATATACAGAGTGGGGCAAAAGTAAGTTTACATTTCATATGGAAAATAAAATAATTAATAATAATAATACAAGAATTAAAAATATAACTCTGTGTTTCACATACTCAGAACTATAAACTGATTTTTGCCCTGTCCTGTATATTCTATTGGTTTTTTGTTAGCTATTTACATTGCAAAATTTTCACTTACTTTGGCTTGCCATTTTTTACTCTCTATGGCAACTTTAATGGACAGGAATCAATTTGAATGTAGTCAAATTTATCAGAATTTTCTGTCATGGTCAGAGCTTTTTATTTCATGTTTAAGAAACTCTATTTTGTACTGAGCCTATTTTAAGTTCTTAATTCAATTAATGAGAAGAAGGTGTACTTGGACTTTGCACACACAAAATCTTAAGGTACTATTACTTTTCCCAAAAAGAAGTATTTTTATTTACTACTGTTTGATTTTTTTAAGATTCTTTTGGCTTATATTTTAACAAGTTTTTATAAGTGCCATCTTCAATAAAGGAAGCTTTTTTTTTTGCTTTTCATCATCTTTTATTTTTTCTATTCTTTCTTTTTTATTTTTATTGTATTTGTCCCATTAATATTTAGTCCCCTTAGCTTTTAAAGCTATCATCTACTTTTCCTTTTTGAAATTTCATCCTCCTATTTGCTATCTTCCTAGAATATATAATATGGGATTTTTTTGTAGTTTTGTTAGATTGCACTTTTAAAAGATTATACTCTCTTTTTTCTTTTCCATTAAAAGAGATCTTTAGTCAAGAGAACACTTATTTTGCTATTGATTCCTGTGTATACTTAGGTCCTAAAGGTGATCGAGGTCAGACCATAACCCAGCCAGGAAAGCCTGGCCTGCCTGGTATGCCAGGCAGGGATGGTGAAGTTGGTCCTCCAGGTATGTGAGGAATTTATTTTACCACATTTTCACCACTTACTAGTTTCTTTATTTAAAACTTTCCCTTTCAAAAACCTGTTGCTTCTCTTCTTAGGTGACCCCGGACTCTCAGGCCAACCAGGTTTGCCAGGAATACCAGGTAGCAAAGGAGAACCAGGTATACCTGGAATAGGGCTTCCTGGACCACCTGGTCCCAAAGGTATGTAGTGGGTAGCAGGCAGGGTAAGTTAGCTGCTTAGTATGACATTATTTCTTTAGTTCATTCAACAAATAAAATATATTAATTGTACTCTTTTTCTATATACTGTAAAGAGTATAAACGAAAAGTAACAGCATACATACACTGTAATTTCATTTTTGTTTATCCAAAATTGTCCAGGCAAGAAAATATCTAGCCCTGGCTGGTGTAGCTCAGTGGATTGAGCACGGGCCTGCGAACCAGACAATCGCGGTTCGATTCCCAGTCAGGGCACATGCCTGGGTTGCAAACCAGTTTCCTACAGGCCATTTCCCAGCAGGGGACGCACGAAAGGCAACCATACATTGATGTTTCTCTCCCTCTCTCCTTCCCTTCCCCTCTAAAGATAAATAAATAAACAAAATATTTTTAAAAATAATAAAAAATAATAAAAAATTTAAAAAAAGAAAATATCTAAGTTATAGGAATGCAAAAATGATACTTAAGCTATAAAATCACAGTAATTATTTTCTTTTATGTTCATTGTTGTATTTTCAGGGTTTAGAACAGTTCCTGGAACATAGTAAGCATTCAATAGATATTTGTTAAATAAGTGGATTACATTAAACAGAAAACAGATTTATTGCACACATATAACCAAATAATGTTTTATTCTAAATCATATTTTCTTGATTTCCTAAAAATTTTAAAACTTATTGCTTCAGTTCTGCTTTATTCCTCACAAAATTTATTCTCATTATCGTCAAGAGTGTGCATTGGTCTGAGAATAGTGCTTCCTATGTCCTTACTCACTTATACTAAATGACTTAGAAGGAGTCAGATTTTATTTTCTTATGTATATATGTGTGTAATATCTGCAATTGTTTTTATTTCATTTCCAGAATTATACAGTAGATCTTTTATTACACTATGTCCCAATGTAAGCAGAAGAAAATATTTTCTGCATTTTTGTGTGAGATTCATTCTTTATGTTCAGTATTACCTCATAATAGTCCTCACTCCCCTTTAGAAGAGCATATCTTCCACACATGTTAGCTCTATGTGAAAATTAGAAGGACCATAAGGTGATTGAGAAGTACTATCAAGTATCTGTAAGGCTTGATCCTTAGTCATCATCCAAAATGTCATTGTGGTTTTAACATCTTACTGTAGTCACTAAGCCTGATTGGATAGGGAAGACATGTTGGTTTGAAAGTTTGGATATTTTTCTTAGAGTATCTTCTATTTGGAGATTTAAAATGACTTATCATTTTTCAGGTTTTTCTGGAATTCCAGGACCTCCAGGAGCACCCGGTACACCTGGAAGAATGGGTCTAGAAGGCCCTTCTGGTCCACCAGGCTTTCGAGGACCAAAGGTCAGGGACAGTTTAATATTTCTTAAAGATTTCACTTATTTATTTTTAGAGAAAGGGAAATGGAGGGAGAAAGAGAAGGAGAAAAACATTGATGTGAGAGAAAAATATCAATAGGTTGCCTCTGACCACGACAAGGGACTGAACCTGCAACCCAGGCATGTGCCCTGACCAGAAACTGAACTGGCAACCTTTCACTTTGCGGGATGATACACAACCAGCTGAGCCACACTGGTCATGGCAGGTCTAGGACATTTTAATTTATTTTTTCCTACAATCCTGTTTCTCCTACCTTTATTTTTTAAAATTTATGTGTTTGTTTATTTTTTAATTATTTAAAATCTTTATTATATTTTTGCATTACCATTTAGTCTACCCTTATATTCCCTATCTCCAGAAATCACCACACTGTTTTCCATGTTCATAAGTCTTTTTTCTTTTTGCTTAATCCTTCCACTTCGTAACCTCCCCACCACCTCTATAGCTGTCATCTGCTCTCCATCAGTCTGTCCCCATTTTCTTTGTTAGTTCAGTTTCTTCATTAGATTCCATATATGAGTGAAATCTTATGGTATTTGTCTTTTTCTGACTGGCTTATTTTACTTAGCATAATATTCTTCAGGTCCATCCATACTGTTGCAAAGAATAAAATTTTCTTTCTCTTTTTTACTGCCAAGTAGTATTTCATTGTATAAATGTCCTGTACTTATTTTATCCACTCATCTACTGATGGACACTCGGGCTGCTTCCACATCTTGGCAATTATAAACAACAAACTCCAATGAACATAAGGGTGCTTATGTTTTTTTGAATTAGTGTTTTGGGTTCCTGTGGATATATTCCCAGAAATGAGATTACTGGGAAAAAAGGCAGATCCATTTTTAATTTTTTAAAGTATTTTTTATTTATTATGCTATTACAGTTTTTTCAATTTCCCCCCTTTATCTTCCCTCCACCCGATACCCCCAACCCTCCAGCATTCCCCACCACTTAGTTCATGTCCATGAATTGTACATATAAGTTCTTTGAGCTCTCTGTTTCCTATACCATTTTTATCTTTCCCCATCTATTTTATGCCTACTAATTATGCTTCTTCCCTGTACATTTTTCCCCTATTCCTCCCATCCCCCTCACTACTGAACTTCCTCTGCATGATGTCCATTTCTCTGAATCTGTTCCTGTTCTGGTTGTTTGCTTAGTTTTTTTTTTTTTTTCATTGTTTTCATTTTCTTTTAGGTTCATTTTGTTGATAGTTGTGAGTTTCTTGTCATTTTACTATTCATATTTTTCATCTTCTTTTTCTTAGATAAGTCCTTTTAACATTTCATATAATAAGGGCTTGATGATATGAACTCATTGAATTTGACCTTATCTGAGAAGTACTTTATCTGCCCTTCCTTTCTAAATGAAAACTTTGCTGGATAGAGTAATCTTGGATGTAGGTCCTTGCCTTTCATGACTTGGAATAGTTCTTTCCAGCGCCTTGTTGCCTGCAAGGTTTCTTTTGAGTAATCAGCTGATAGCCTTATGGGCACTCCTTTGTAGGTAACTCTCTCCTTTTCTCTTGCTGCTCTTAGGATTCTCTCTTTATCTTTAATCTTGGGTAACTTAATGATGATGTGCCTTGCTGTGTTCCTCTTTGGGTCCAACTTCTTTGGGACTCTCTGACCTTATTGGACTTCCTAGAAGTCTATTTCCTTCACCAGATTGGGGAAGTTTTCCTTCATTATTTCTTCAAATAAGTTTTTGATTTCTTGCTGTTGTTCTTCTCCTTCTGTCACCCCTATAATATTTGTATATTGGAACATTTCAAACTGTCCCAGAGATTCATAAGTCTCTTCACTTTTTTGAATTCTTGTTTCTCCATTCTATTCTGATCAAATGTTTATTTTTTTCCTTTTGTTCCAAATCATTGATTTGAGTCCTGGTTTCCTTCCTGTCACTGTTGGTTCCCTAAATATTTTGCTTTATTTCATTTTGGGTATCTTTCATTCGTTCTTTCATTTTTTGACCAAGCTCAATCAGTTCTGTGAGCATTTTGATTACCAGGGCTTTAAATTCTCCATCAGATAAGTTAGCTATCTCCTCGTGGCTTAGATCTCTTTCTGAAGCTTTGCTCTGTCCTTTTATTTGGGCCATATTCCTTTGTCTCAGCACACCTGTTAAGTTGTAAGGTCATGGGGCCTTAGGTATTCACCAGAACCTGGCAACCCTCCTTCCTGTGCTGCGGTGCTGTCTGTGGAGGAGTGGCCAAAGAGGGAACAGTGTAACTCCCTTGCTCAGTTCTATCCCACTTTTCAATAAACTCTCTAGTGTGAGACTGGGAATTACTCCAGTCAGCAACTGCCATCCATAGTCTATAGTCAGCTCTGAGTCTCAGTTTCATCTTCAGCCAGTCCCACCCATGTGGTCCATTATCTCTCCTACTGGCCTGGTTGTTTTGGTTGAGTTTTTCTTTAATTTCATGGTTGTCAGAGTCACATGCAGTTTGATTTTCCTGACACTTCTGGTTGTTTATTGATTTTAGATTGGTTGTTATCCTCTTTTTGGTTGCATGAAGAACCAAAGAGTATCCACCCATGCCTCCATATTGGCTGGAATTCCATTTTTATTTTTTTGAGATATCTCTATACTGCTTTCCACAGTGGCTATACCAGTCTGCATTCTCACCAACAGTGCATAAAGGTTCCCTTTTCTCCACATCCTCTCCAGTGCTTATTGTTTTTTGATTTATTGATGATAGACATTATGATAAGTGTGAAGTAATATATCATTGTGGTTTTAACTTGCATTTCTCTGATGATTAGTGACATTGAGCATATTTTTATATGTCTTTTGGACATCTGTATGTCCTCTTTGGAGATGTATCTATTCAGGTCCTTTGTCCATTTTCTAATTGGGGTGTTTGTTTTTTGGGTGTTGAGATCATGTATAAAGGACCCATGATAATGGACAGCAGGGTCAGGACTCACTGAGGGAAGGGTGGTGGGTGGGGCAGGAGAAAACAACGAGAGAAAAATTGGGACAGCTGTAACTGAACAACAATAAAAAAACAAAATAAATTTCAAGTAGAATAATAAAAAAATTTTGGACATTAACCCCTTATCAGCTCTATTAATGAATATGTTCTCCCAATCTGTGGGTACTTTTTTTACTGTGTTGATGATTTCCTTTGCTGTGCAAAAGCTTTTTGGTATGATTTAGTCCCATTTGTTTATTTATTCCTTTGTTTCCCTTGTTTGGGGAGATATACCCGATAAAAATTTCTGCCAACAATATCTGAGATTTTGCTGCCTATGTTTTCTTCTAGGATTTTTATGGGTTTGGTTGTAACATTTAAGTCTTTGATCCATTTTGAATTTATTCTTCTGTGTGGTATAAGAAGGTGGTCTATTTTCATTTTTTTATGCATGTATCTCTCTAATTTTTCCAACACCAGTTATTTTTTAAATTACCTTATTGTTGTTCAGTTACAGTTGTCTGCATTTTCTTCCCACCCCTACCCCCTACCCCCAGCCAAACCAACCTCCCTCCCTTGCTTCTACCCTCCCCCTTGGTTTTGTCCATGTGTCCTTTATAGTAGTTCCTGAAAGCCCTTCTTCCCACTCTCCCTTCTGGCTGTTTAGTTAGATTGTTCTTAATTTTAATGTCTCTGGTTATATTTTGTTTGCTTTTTTCTTTTGTTGATTATGTTCTAGTTAAAGGTGAAATTACATGGTATGTGGCCCTCACCACCTGGCTTATTTTCACTTAGCATAATGCTCTCCAGTTCCATCCATGCTTTTGCAAAGGGTATAAACTCCTTTCTCTCTGCTGCATAGAATTCCATTGTGTAAATGTACAAGGTTTTTGATCCATTCTTTTGCTTATGGGCACTTAGGCTGCTTCCAGAACTTGGCTATTATAAATTGTGCTGCTATGAACACTGGGGTGCATGGTTCTTTTGGATTGGTGTTTCAGGGCTCTTAGGGTATAATCCTAGCAGTGGAATTTCTGGGTCAAAAGGCAGTTCCATTTTTAGTTTTGTGAGGAAATTCCATACTGTTTTCCACAGAGACTACACCAGTCCACCAGTCTGCATTCCCACCAACAGTGCACTAGGGTTCCCTTTTCTCTGCGTTCTCTCCAACACTTGTTTGTTGATTTGCTTATGTTGGCCATTCTGACTGGTATGGGGTGGTATCTCATTGTGGTTTTAATTTGCATTGCCGTCATGGCTAGTGATACTGAGCATTTTTCCACATGTCTCTGGCCCTCTGTATGTCCTCCTTGGAGAATGGTCTGTTCAAATCTTCTGCCCATTTTTTAATTGGGTTGTCTTCCTGGAGTGGAGTCATGTGAGTTCTTTATATATTTTAGACATCAAACCCTTCTCTGAGGTATCATTGGCAAATATGTTTTCCCAAATAGTTGGTTCTTTTTTTCATTTTAATGCTATCTTCTTCAGCCATGCAGAAGCTTTTTAATTTGATGGGGTCCCATTTGTTTATCCTTTCCTTTATGTCCCTTGCTTTAGGGGACGTATCCATGAAGATGTAGCTGTGTAGAATGCCTGAGATTTTCCTGCCAATGTTTTCCTCTAGAACTTTTATGATGTCATGACTTATATTTAAGTCTTTTACCCATCTTGAATTTATTTTTGTGTATGGTATAAGTTGGTGATCGAGTTTCATTTTTTTGCATGTAGCTGTTCAACTCTCCCAACACCATTTGTTGAAAAGGCTATTTTTTCTCCATTTTATGCTTCTTCCCCCTTTGTCAAATATCAATTGACTGTAGAGACATGGGTTTACTTCTGAGCTCTCTATTCTGTTTCATTGGTTCATGTATCGTTTCTTATGCTAGTACCAGGCTTTTTTGATTACTGAATTACTTGTAATTCAGTTTGATGTCAGGTATTGTGATCCCTCCTGCATTGTACTTCTTTTTCAAAATTGTTGCAGCTATTTGGGGTCGTTTATGTCTCCATATAAATTTCTGAAATGTTTGTTCTATATTTGTGAAATATGCCATAGACACTTTAATAGGGATTGCATTAAATCTATAAATCTCTTTGTGTAGTATGGCCATTTTGATGATGTTAACTCTTCCAATAATGAGCATGGTACATGCTTCCATTTGTTTGTGTCTTTCTTAATTTCTTTTCTCAGTGCTGTATAGTTTTCTGAGTATAGGTCTTTACCTTCTTGGTTAGGTTTATTCCTAAGTACTGTATTTTTCTTGCTGTTATATCAAATGGAATTTTTTTCCTGATTTGTGTTTCCAATGTTTCATTGTTGATGTACAAAAATGCCTTTGATTTCTGCATATTGAGTATGTATCTGGCTGTTTTGCCTAATTCATATATTAGGTTGAGTAGTTTTTTTGTGAAGTCTATAGGATTTTCTATGTATACTATAATGTTATCTGTAAACAATGACAATTTTGTTTCTTTCTTTCCAATTTGGATGCCTTTCATTTCTTTTTCTTTTCTTATTGCTGTGACTAGAACTTCCAGTACTATGTTAAATAGGAGTGGTTAAAGCCGGCATCTTTGTCTTGTTCCTGATCTTAGCGGGAAAGCTCTAAGTTTTTGCCCATTGAGTATGATGTTGGCTGTAGGTTGAGGAATGCTATATGGCTTTTATTATGTTGAGGAATACTACCTCTATTCCCCCTTTGCTGAGTGTTTTTATCATAAATGGGTACTATACCTTATCAAATGCTTTTTAGCATCTATTGACATGATCATGTGATTTTTGTGTTTTGTTTTGTTTGTATGGTTTATTAGGCTACTGATTTGAGAATGTTGTACCATCCTTGCATCCCTGGGATGAATCCCACTTGATTATGGTGTGTGATCTTTTTTTTTAAAGAGTTTATTTATTTATTTTTAGATAGAGGGGAAGGGAAGGAGAAAGAGAGGGAAACATCAATGTGCGGTTGCCTGTCATGTGCCCTCCACTGGGGTGCTGGCCCACAACCCAGGTATGTGCCCTAACTGGGAATAGAACCAGCAACCCTTTTGGGTCAGAGACCGCACTCAATCCACTGAGCTACACCAGCCAGACCATGTGTGATCTTTTTAATGTATTGCTGGATGTGGTTTGCCAATATTTTGTTGAGGATTTTAGCATCTATGTTCATCCATGGTATTGGTTTGAAGTTTTCTTTCTTTGTTATATCTTTTTTTCTGTTTTTGGATTAGGATGATGCTGGCTTCATAAAAAGAGTTTGGGAATGTTCTATCTTCTTAAATTTTTCCCATACCACTTATTGAACAAACCATCTTTATCCCATTGTATGTACTTTTTTTTCTGTTGAATATTAATTGACTGTAAAGGTGTTGGTTTATTTCTGAGCTCTCACTTCTGTTTCATTGATGTATGTGTCTGTTTTTAAGCCAGTACCATGCTGTTTTGATTAATCTGGTCTTACAATAATTGGAACGGAAAATGTAAAACTGCCTTTATTTTTAATTGACATGATACTATACATAGAGTACCCCAAAGATTCCACCAAGAAGCTACAAGAACAGATAAATGAATTCAGCAAAGTAGCAGGATACAAAATTAATATCTAGAAATCAGGTGCATTTTTATATTACAATAAATGACTAACAGAAAGGGAAATTAAGAAAACAATCCCATTCAATTACTTCAATAAGAATAAAATGCCTATGAATAAACCTAACCAAGGATGTAAAGACCTGTACTAGGAAAATTATAAGACACTGAAGAAAGAAATTGAAGAAGATACAAATAACTGGAATCATATACTGAGTTCATCTATAGGACCAATTTATAATAAAATGTCCATACTTCCCTAAGCAATTTATAGATTCAATGTAATTCCTATCAAGACTCCAATGACATATTTCACAGAAGTAGAACAAATATTTCAAAAATGTATATGGACCCACACAAAGCTCCACATAGCAACAGCAATCCTGAGAAAAAACAAAGTTGGAGGAATCATGCCGCCTAATATTCAAATTTTCTTTGTTTTAACTCTCTTTAGACTTACACATCATCCCAAGTCTTCACTATATAAAGACACTTAACTGATTATATTTTCATTTGAAAGTATTTAACCAAAAACAGTCTCTAATAGTCCAAGAGGTCATATTTGAAGCAAAAAAAAAGTTTTCCAATGTGTTTCATAGTGATCAATTGTGGGAGCAACTTTGCCCGCAAAGTCCCTCCATCTGCCACAGATGAAAGCGAAATTATCAAGACATGATCTGCTTGGGGTGGCAAGGTGGCTTATCCCTCAATGGAGAAGGGCCAAGATCTCCTTTCTCAAGGGGCTTTTATTGGGGTCATTTGCACAAGAATACAGGTAGGAATTAAACAATAGATAGTATTCAAAGAACTTTGAAGACTTATCTCAGTCAGGATCAGATAGCTAAAGAGCCATAAAACTTTGAGAAACAAACTTCTTGCTTGGACCCTTATCATTTAAATGAGAGCATTCTAAACAAAGCAGGTTTCACAGGATTTTACATATTCTTTCTTAGGCCTGATCACCCAGGGGAACCTGCCCTTTCCAGCACAGGTCTGCACTGCCTTCCCCATCATAGGTTTTTAGGCTTAAGTGGATTACAGCCAGGAAGCACTTCTCCCAGACAGAAATGGGGACTCTGGCTATGTCAGAATAGCCAGGGGACAAGGGTTCATCACTCCCTCTTTGTTACAGCCCCCTGAGTCCTTCCATGATGTCCTCCCAAGTGATCGTGTCTGGCTTAGGTTGCCCCTCCTCTGAGAAGTCGTACCTGTCCCTGACTAGCCAACCAAGCATTGTGGGCAGGGGGATGAAGCAGAAGCAGTATTTACTACCAGAGACAAACTTTGTCTCCTTAGTCTGGAGGTTGCTCACAGTATCACAGTCCGGAGGTCGCTCACTCAGCCTTAGCCATGGGGGGCAGTTACAACTTCTGAAACCAGGCAGAGCAGTTCCTAACAACCAATTATTTCCTGAGATAACAGATTATAGACAAAAGAATACAATCATCGTTTCCCCCTATGCTTCTTTGTAGTATCCCCATCCCATTTAATGTCTGTTCATGCCTGTTTTTGATGATTGGTTGAAATGCTGTTGAATATCATGTCAAGAACTTTCCATGCTGTCCCTCTGTCCTGATTAAATCCCAAATACATGTTACAGATGAGTGGTATCAATTTTTAATGTGATGATGATGGTGATGATGATAATGAATTTATTTGAGTCACTTTGCATTCCTTATAATGTGTCTTAGCTGATTTAAAATTTTCTCGGGCCCTGGCCAGCTAGCTCAGTTAGAACATTGCCCCAATACACCAAGGTTTTGGGTTTGATCCCCAGTCAGGACACATAACACAAACAACCAGCCCTGGATGGTGTGGCTCAGAGAATTGAGCACTGGCCTGCAAACCAAAGGGTTGCCTGTTCAATTCCCAGTCAGGGCACATGCCTGGGTCATAGGCCAGGTCCCCCGTGGGGGACACATGAGAAGCAACCACACATTTATGTTTCTTTACCTCTTTCTCCTGCACATCTCCTCTCTCTAAAAATAAATAAATGAAATATTTTAATTTTTAAAAAATAAGTAAGTAAATAAATAAAAATTTATTTGGTCAGCCTTCAGCAAACTGCTGCAGTATGTAATTATCCTGACTGCTCCTGTATTTTATGTGCTTAATTTAAACTTCCTTTGTTTTCATCATTATAAGCTTTTTTCCCCCATGGAAAGAACAATTGACCATGACACCAGCTCACATGAGAAGCCACTTCTTTATTTATTAATTGTTTTTATTTTATTAGAAACATTTTCAAATGAGCACAAAAGTAAAAGGAATGATACAATTAACTTTCATATATCTATCACTCACATTTCAAATTATCAAAATTTTATCACATTTACTTCATCTGTTCCTTCTTCCTTTGCTAAAGTATTTTAACTCAAATGTCAGAATCCTGCCAATTCACCTATAAATACTTTAGTGTCCATCTCTAAGTAAGTGGAAACTTTATACAAAAACCACAATGCCATACTTATTCAAATTAAAAATATCATCTAATACTCAGTCTATAATCACATGTCCTCACTTGGGTTTACTCTTATACTCTCTCAGTTATCTCTTTCTTGTCCTGAAACCAGTTCAAATTATTTGTTTTACTAAGCCCTGTTTTCCATCCTTCCTGGTATTCTCCCCAACATATCAATTACTTTAAATTTAATTGCTCTACTTCCTCACCCATGGGGGTGGGAGTATTACCTTGTATTTTCTCCTTTAAATTATCTGTGATAAACAATCAGTACTGAGAAAGTCACAAGAGTTTTTTGTTGTGTTCTGTCATGCGTATGCTCTAGGGAGAACCAGGATTTGGGCTACCTGGGTCACCAGGGCCTCCAGGACTTCCAGGTTTCAAAGGAACACTTGGTCCAAAAGGAGATCATGGTTTCCCAGGACCTCCAGGTCCTCTAGGACACACCGGATTGGATGGGCTACCTGGACTAAAAGGTATGATGGATGTTGCTATTTCTCAATTTGCTTTTAGATTTTATAGATATTGAAACTGTTGGGAAAGTTTGTGGGTGATGAGTCCAATTAACTGGAAAATCTATGATGCTACTCTGTCAACTGCTTTTTTTTCATTCTTCATGAATATCTTTTATGTTTTATTTCATGGAATAAATGATACAATCATATATGTGTAAAAGTAACACTGAGAAGTCGTTTTTTATCCCATCTCCATCCACTTCCCCGTTCTTTATGTAGTCATTTTTTTAATTTATTTTTTAATTGTTGTTCAAGTACAGTTTTCTATCTTTTATTCCCATCCCATCCCACCAATCTAGCCCTCCCCATGTAGTCATTTTTAGTTACTTATTTATTTCTAGTGATCCTTTAGACAAATACAAATCTTTCTCAAAAGACAGTGTATGACTTTTTGCACTTTACATATTTCGCTTAAATTGTATACTAGATATTACTCCATATGAGTACATAGAGATCTTGACTTTTAAAAAATAGCTGACTAATGTTGAATTGCTTGGATATACCATACTTATTTTATTAGTTACTAGTTACTAGGTTGAGCTTGTTGACATTTTTTCCTTATTAAAAGTAATCCCATATTGAATAAACTTTCATACATGTTATTACATATGGGTATAGGTATGATAGTAAAATAGTAAAAATAAAAGTGGATTTTCTGAATTGAAGGGTAAGTGCATCTCTAGATATTGTTATATTCCTCTTCATTACACCATTTTACACTCCCGGCAGCAATGCATGGGTGTGACTGTTTCTACACAGCATTAATACCTATGTTGAAACACTTGGATTTTTGCCAACCTGATGGAAATAAATAGGTATCTCAGCATAATCTTTTAAACATTATTGTGAAAATTTTCAAAAACACAAAAAAGTATTGTACAATGAATACCTATATATCCACTACCCAGATTCTACAATTATCATTTTATCTCTTTGCCAACATTTAAAAAAATTTCTATATACAACAATGTAGAAAGAATTTTAGAGGGCCTACTATATATCCATCCTTGATTTTTAACCATCAACATCTATATACATGTTTTGTCACATATTTATCCATTTCTTTCTCCATTATTTCACTTATTTTTATTTATTTCAACATAAATTGAAACAACTGCATACTTCTTCGCAATTACTTCAGCATGCATGTCATAACTACAATTCTGTGGTTGTTCTTTTTCTTTTAATATACAATTCACATTAAATGAGATGCACAGATCTTAAGGATATATTTGCTGGATTTTGACAAACGCTTGTGTAACCAAACCCCTATCAAGATATAACTTCAGCCCTGGCCAAACAACTTACTTGGTTGGAGCATTGTCCCATTCACCAAGAATTTGTGGGTTTAATTTTCAGTCAGGACACATACCTAAGTTTCAGGTAGGATCCCTGGACAGGGCTTATATGGGATGCAACCAATCAATATTTCTCTCTTATGTCAATCTCTCTCTCTTCTCCCTTCTCCCTCTCTCTGCCTCTCTCTCCTGTCTCCAAAATATATACATGTATCCTTGTGTACAGATGTTTTAAAAAAGATATAATCCCAGAAATTTCCCTTTGGCCCTTTCCTCTGTCCTTACCCCAAATGCCACAGTGGCAACTACACTGTAATCACTTTTTTTGTTGTTGTTAAATTACAGTTGTCCCCATTTTACCCCATTACTCTCCCCTGCCTTACCCACCCACACCTTCCACATTCAATCTGTCCCCTGTTATCTTTGTCCATGGGTATTTTATACATGTTCCTTGACTTGACCTTCCCTTTCTTTTCCCTGTTATTCCCTCCCCCTCCCCTCTGGTCATTATCACTTTGTTCTTCATTTCCATGTCCCTGGTTCTATTGTTCTCACTTGTTTGTTTTGTTGATTAGGTTCCACTTATAGGTGAGATCCTATGGTATTTGTCTTTCACCACCTGGCTTATTTCACTTAGCATAATGCTCTCCAGTTCTATCCATGCTGTCATGAAGGGTAGAAGCTCCTTTTTTCTGTTCCATAGCATTCTATTGTGTAAATGTACCTCAGTTTTTTGATCCATTAATTTAGTGCTGAGCACCTTGGCTGCTTCTAGCAGTTGGCTATTGTAATTGTACTGCTTTAAACACTGTGGTACATAGGTTCTTTTGAATTAGTGTTTTAGGATTCTTAGGGTATAATCCCAGGAGTGGAATTGCCAGGTCAAAAGTCAATTTTTAGTTATGGCCAGTATGGAGGTGTAGGCAGAAATGCTTTGTTTCCTCACACAATGAAAAGAATGATAACAACCAATTTAAAAAATGAACAATCAGAACTGCCAGAAAAATAGTTGTATGGAAGTCCAACCACCAAGGAGCTAAACACTCACCAGACAGTAGGAGGAGTGGAAAAGATCAGCTGAGTGTAATAGGGCAGCTGGACAGAGAGGACACATGGCAAGGCAACAGCTTGAGGACCAGGAGGGCAAGGCAGCAGCAGGCAGACCCAATGGACGGTCCCACATTTGCAAGCAGACAAGCCCAGGGGAACAATGGGGTAGAGAGAGAGAGAGAGAGACTGCAAAACACTGAGTTTCATCATGGGAAACTAAAGACTCAAAATCCCGGTCTGTAAAAAATCTGTGGGGTTTGTGGCAGCAAGAGAAACCCCCAGCCTCACAGGAGAGTTTGTTGGAAAGACCCCAGGGTCCTAAAATGTACACAAACCCATCCACCTGTGAATCAGCACCTGAAAGGGTATAATTTGCTTGTGAGAAGTGAGGAAAGTGATGTAAAGTGGGATGAGAGTCAAATAGGTGGCATTGCTCCTTCTCTGACCCCTCCCCCACAGAGAGTACCACAATGCAACAAACAGGGTTGCCTCACCATGGCAAATACCTAAGTTTTCACCCCTTGCCATGTAACAGGTGCACCAAGGCAAAAAAAATTATGGCCCAAATGAAAGAACAGATTAAAACTCCAGAAAAAGAACTAAGCAATGAAGAGATAGACAACCTATCTGATGCACATTTCAAAGCACTTTTAGTGAGGATGCTCACAGATTTGATTGAGCTTGGTCACAAAATGAAAAAAGAAATGAAGGCTATACAAAGTCTAAAGGAAAACATACAGGGAACCAACAGTAAAGGGAAGGAAACTGGGACTCCAATCTACAATTTGGAGCAAAAAAAGAAATCAACATCCAACTGGAACAGAATAAAGAGACAAGAATTCAAAAAAAATGAGGAAAGGCTTAGGAACCTCTGGGACAACTTCAAATGCACCAACATTCAAATCATGAGTACCAGAAGAATAGGAAGAACAAGAACTTGAAGTTATTTGAAAAAGTAATGAAGGAGAACTTCCCCAATCTGGCAAAGGAAATAGACTTCCAGGAAGTCAAGGAAGCCCAGAGAGTCCCAAAGAAATTGGACAAAAGGAGGAACACACCAAGACACATCATCATTAAGTTACCCAAGATTAAAGAGAAGGAGAGAATCTTAAAAGGAGCAAGAGAAAAGGAGAGTGTTACCTACAAGGAGTTCCCATAAGAGTATTGGATTGCTCCAAAGAAACCTTACAGGCAAGAAGGGGTTGGAAAAAAGTATTCAAAGTCATGAAAGGCGAGGTACTACATCCAAGATTACTCTATCCAACAAAGCTATCATTTGAAATGGAAGGACAGATAAACGTGCTTCCTAGATAAGGTCAAGTTCAAAGAGTTCAGCATCACCAAGCCCTTATTATATAAAATGGAAAAAACACTTATCTAAGAAATAGAATCTGTGAACAGTAAAATGACAACAAACTCACAACTGTCAACAACCGAACCTAAAAAACAAAAGTAATCTCAGGAAACAACTAGAACAGGAACAGCTTCACAGAAATGGAGATCACATGGAAAATTATTAGTGGGGAGGGGGACAATGGGTGGAAAAGTTACAGGCAATAAGTAAAATAGGTAGATACAAAATAGACAGGGGGAGGTTAAGAATAGTATAGGAAATGGAGAAGCTAAAGAAGTTATGTGTACAGCCCCTGGACATGAACTGTGGTAGGTGAATGCTGTAGGGTAAAGATGGCAGTGCAGGGAGGAGGGGGATAAAGGAAAGAAAAAAATTGGGACAACTGTAATAGCAAAATCAATAAATTGATTAAAAATAATACTTAAAAATAAATTTAACCAAGAATGTAAAAGACTTGTATTTTAAAAAGTTGTAAGACACTGAAGAAACTGAAGAATATATAATAAATGGAAGCATATACTGTGCTCATGGATAGGAAGAATTAACATCATTAAAATGTCTATACTATCTAAAAAAATAAAGAGTAAGACAATTAGAACTGGAGTTGTGAGAAAATGGGAGACAGATCCAGAAAGAAGACAGAAGGTGAACAGCTGCAACAAATTTCACTTTGCTGTCCTTCAGAACTTGCAGGTTTCTTTTTATTTATCATCTCTCTACTTCTTTAGTTTTTTATTTGTTTGTTTTTATTGATTGACTTATTTTTTAGTTTCCCTTTTATACTCCATTTTAATTTTTCTTCTTTCATTTCACTCATATTCCAAATAACACACTACCATTGGTCTTTTAATTTTTATTCTTTTTATTCAGATTATATACTAGTTATCATACTATTGTTTTTCCAAATGCAACACAGCACCCTTCCCTGGTCTTAATCCATTTTACCATCTTCCTGAGCATTATTACTATTGTGGTTAACTTTATTTTTTCTCACACTATGCCAAGTTTCTATCCCTTACTTTCACTATTTCTCCTCCATCTAATCTCATATAAGTGCTCTTCTTTCTCAAGTGAGCTCACATTCTTTCTTCCTTCTAATAAGAGTCTTATTTATTTTTCACCTTTTATAAACAGTGGCTAGTCGGGTGAAATATCACAGTTATTTCTGTACTTCTCCAAAGGAACTCACATTTGTTCACTACTGGTTTGTACTTTAAATTCCATAGAATACTCTCCCACTTTCTTACTCTATTTAGCCT